CAATATTTTTATCTGTCATAACTTGCGAAATAAGTCAGCGATTCTTTACAACTTGCTATATCTAAATATTTCTCTCAACCATATAAAGGGAATGAAGTAAGTAGATAGTCCAAACCTGGCACATATCCAATTCGAAATGGAGAATATTGGTCCATTCCTTCGGAACCTACCCCATAGAGGGTCAACAATTGGAATAATTATAACAGAGTGAAAATATATTTAAATAATCGAAAATTGGCTGCGGGTATACATTTGCCGGCAAAGCCGACTGAGCCGATCCTCCACGATAGTGTGGAGGGTATATTATGTTTGTCATTTCGTTTGTAACACCTCGAAACACACATTTTAGACCCCACAAAGTATATATATTCTTGATCAGCATAAAACTCTATGTCGATTTAGCGATGTCCGTCCGTCTGTGGAAATCACTCTAGCTTCCGAACGAATTGAAGTAGATTGATAAAATTTAGCTCAAATGTATGTTATGTCTGCAGGACTTGTGGTATTGAAAATGGGCCATGTAGGTCCAGGTTTTGGTATAGCCCCTATGTAACTGTACCTCCCTATATTCGGTATTTTGATGATTTTAGCGAATTTCTTCACCGGAATTGTTTCAAATTTGGTATTTGAAGTTCATAATGGATACTACAGCCTAAGACAGAAAATTGTCTGTGCAGGTCCACGTCTCCGTAGAGCCCCCATATAACGGTACCTCATGATATTCGGTGTCATCGGCATTGTGTCAAATTTGGTATTTAAAGGTCGTAATGGATACTACAGCCTAAGACAGAAAATTGTCTGTGCAGGTTCACCTCTTCGTAAAGCCCCCATAAAACGGTACCTCCCGATATTCGGTATTTTAATGACTTTAGTTACGTTTTCACTAGAATTGTTTCAAATTTGATATTTGAAGGTCGTAATGGATACTACAGTCTGCGATAGAAAATTGTCTGCGCAGGTCCACATACCGATATTCGGTATTTTGATTTTATCGACATTATAACCGATTTTTTTTAAGTTTCGCATTTGAATATTATAATGGCTTATGACAAATGTTACCTATGCCGGCTCATGTCGTCGTATAGACCCTAATGTAATAGCTTCATTCGGTATTTTTAAGATTTTAACAGAAATTTTAACGGATTTTATTGTTAATAAATAGAACGTCAATACCACCAAAGATATATGGATTGCCCAAAATCCATAAGGAGGGAACACCACTACGACCAATATGTTCATTTACAAATTCGCCGACTTATGAGTTATCCAGATATATATCAAAAATCCTAAAAGTATTGACAGTTGATTCAAAATACAACATTAAAGATGCAATAGACTTCAAATCCAGGATTAATAATCAACATATTGAAGATGACGAAATTTTAATTTCATTTGACGTGATTTCCTTGTTCCCAAGCATTCCAGTAAACTTGGCTATTAGTGCTATTAAAGATAGTTGGTCTATTATAAAGGAACATACACATATACCAATGGATCTTTTTATTGACATTTTGACAACATGTATTAAGGACGCTAGATATTTCGCATATAAGGATAAGATATATGAACAACAAAAAGGCATGCCGATGGGCTCACCTATTTCACCAATCATTGCTGATATAATAATGGAGAAACTTCTTGACGAAACTATGAACAAATTGACTATCAAACCCAGATTCTTGACAAAATATGTGGACGACATATTTTGCATCGTAAAAAAGGAGGAAGTGGAAAATACACTTAAGACGCTGAATATGTACAACAAACAACTACGGTTTACGATGGAGAGTGAATTGAATAATCAGTTACCATATCTAGATAGCTTAGTACAAAGAGAAGGAAAAAAGTTGTTATTAGATTGGTACCAAAAGCCAACAGCCTCGGGTAGATTAATTAATTACCATTCAAAGCATCCGCGACGTATAAAAATCAACACGGCCACAAACTTTATCCAAAGGGTCTTGAAAATAAGTGACAGAAAATTCCATGCAAAGAACAAAATCAAAATCATAAAGATTTTAAAAATGAATGACTTCCCTAGTAACATTGTTAATGAATTGATTAAACGCGCCGAGGGTAATAGAGCATACCAAAATACAAAATTAGTGGAAAAGACATATAAAAGATCTACATATATACCAGGGTTTTCGGAAAGATTTTCTTCATCAAACATGTACAACAGTGAGAAGTATCAATTGGCATTCAGAAGCAGTAACACCAACAATAATTTCTTTAGTAGAACTAAAACAAAAATTCCACACGAGGATAAATCTAACGTCGTTTATAAGATTAAATGTAATGGGGACGGGTCCAACGTATGTCAGAAGGCATATGTTGGGACAACAAAATCTAAATTAAAAACTCGTATTAGCTCTCATAAATCGGACCAAAAGACAAAAACTAAACCCATAGAGCAAAAAACTGCCCTTGCTGCCCATTGCCAACAAGAAGGACATACCCCCAATTTCAAAGATGTCGACATCTTGGCACAAGAAAATAACTACAAACGTAGGTACATGTTAGAAATGCTACATATTATAAATGTACCTCCTAATAAACGAATGAACTACAAAACTGACACGGAACATTGTGCTCAAATTTATAGAAATGTCATCGAAAAGCATAAGAAAAATTAGTTGGAAAATTCGAGTAAAAAGGAAAGGATGGAAAAGCTGCATCAGAGAACTTAAAAACAGAAGAGTTAAAATCCAATGTAATTATCGTTATAGTGTTTTGTTTTATTTATTTATACTAAATGTTAATTGTTTTTTCAAGCCAAATCCCTGATGATGACTATCGAAGATAGTCGAAATATCGGACAAATAAATTAATATATAAAAAAACAAATTCGTCTGTTTTTTAAATTCTGACCTCGAGCCAAACGAAAAACCAGAAGAAAATACATTGATCAAAGGTCAACAATAACTATACAAATTAATAACACGGAAGGCACGCCGATAAAAACAACAATACTCAACATGAATGTCTATAAAAATATAAAACAAAAATATAACGAAGAAACTAAAAATGTCATCAAACAATATTCAAAAAGTAACAGGCAGTCAGCACGCTTAACATCAACAGCAACTTTCCTCATTAAGTGCAGAGAAACAGGTATAATTCCAAATTTTATTTCTAACACCACAAAGAATGTTTTTGACTTATTTAAAACAAATAAACAAATACCAACAAATGTAAAAACATCGTTAGACACAATCACCTATAACTTCCACACAAAAGTACTTAAACTATTAATACAGCAGAAACATAAGCAAGTCAACATTACAAGAAATACTCTTACAAACATTAAAGCTCAACTCAGGGACCAATTAGATGCAGACGACTTAATATTACTCACAGAAAGTGAGAATATCATTTCTCACTCTCAAAGCACAAAACAGAAATCTATACACACCAACAAACTAGACGCATTAAAACAACAACAACACTGTCAACTGAACATACAACACAACAAGGAATGGTTCGTAAATAAAACAGATACTGACATACCCAACAACGTTGAATGGTTGCTGTCTCTTGGGCCGAAGTTCTCTTTGCCAACAACAAAAACGACGTTCCCCTTGTTTGATATTATCGCTGAGGGAGAAGAGTGCATTCAAACGTTGGATAACAGAGAACAACAAGAGAATGCGAGAATAAATTTTATTACTCTGATAAATGACCACACGAGGAAAACGACATTAGGGAAAAGAGATCGGTTTGTTCTAAACACAGTGGACCAAACGACGAAATTTTTGAAACAAAATAAAGAATTATTAATATTAAATGCAGACAAGGGTGGAAAAACTGTTGCCATGTCAAAAACAGAATATGATTCAAAAATGAACGCAATTTTAATGGACATGTGTACTTACAAACGTGTAAGAAAAGACCCAACAACAGGACTACAAGAGAAAAACAATAAATTAGTTACAAAATTATTTGAGTTAAAACTAATTGACGAGAAAGTGAAATATAACTTAATAAATAGAACGTCAATACCACCAAAGATATATGGATTGCCCAAAATCCATAAGGAGGGAACACCACTACGACCAATATGTTCATTTACAAATTCGCCGACTTATGAGTTATCCAGATATATATCAAAAATCCTAAAAGTATTGACAGTTGATTCAAAATACAACATTAAAGATGCAATAGACTTCAAATCCAGGATTAATAATCAACATATTGAAGATGACGAAATTTTAATTTCATTTGACGTGATTTCCTTGTTCCCAAGCATTCCAGTAAACTTGGCTATTAGTGCTATTAAAGATAGTTGGTCTATTATAAAGGAACATACACATATACCAATGGATCTTTTTATTGACATTTTGACAACATGTATTAAGGACGCTAGATATTTCGCATATAAGGATAAGATATATGAACAACAAAAAGGCATGCCGATGGGCTCACCTATTTCACCAATCATTGCTGATATAATAATGGAGAAACTTCTTGACGAAACTATGAACAAATTGACTATCAAACCCAGATTCTTGACAAAATATGTGGACGACATATTTTGCATCGTAAAAAAGGAGGAAGTGGAAAATACACTTAAGACGCTGAATATGTACAACAAACAACTACGGTTTACGATGGAGAGTGAATTGAATAATCAGTTACCATATCTAGATAGCTTAGTACAAAGAGAAGGAAAAAAGTTGTTATTAGATTGGTACCAAAAGCCAACAGCCTCGGGTAGATTAATTAATTACCATTCAAAGCATCCGCGACGTATAAAAATCAACACGGCCACAAACTTTATCCAAAGGGTCTTGAAAATAAGTGACAGAAAATTCCATGCAAAGAACAAAATCAAAATCATAAAGATTTTAAAAATGAATGACTTCCCTAGTAACATTGTTAATGAATTGATTAAACGCGCCGAGGGTAATAGAGCATACCAAAATACAAAATTAGTGGAAAAGACATATAAAAGATCTACATATATACCAGGGTTTTCGGAAAGATTTTCTTCATCAAACATGTACAACAGTGAGAAGTATCAATTGGCATTCAGAAGCAGTAACACCAACAATAATTTCTTTAGTAGAACTAAAACAAAAATTCCACACGAGGATAAATCTAACGTCGTTTATAAGATTAAATGTAATGGGGACGGGTCCAACGTATGTCAGAAGGCATATGTTGGGACAACAAAATCTAAATTAAAAACTCGTATTAGCTCTCATAAATCGGACCAAAAGACAAAAACTAAACCCATAGAGCAAAAAACTGCCCTTGCTGCCCATTGCCAACAAGAAGGACATACCCCCAATTTCAAAGATGTCGACATCTTGGCACAAGAAAATAACTACAAACGTAGGTACATGTTAGAAATGCTACATATTATAAATGTACCTCCTAATAAACGAATGAACTACAAAACTGACACGGAACATTGTGCTCAAATTTATAGAAATGTCATCGAAAAGCATAAGAAAAATTAGTTGGAAAATTCGAGTAAAAAGGAAAGGATGGAAAAGCTGCATCAGAGAACTTAAAAACAGAAGAGTTAAAATCCAATGTAATTATCGTTATAGTGTTTTGTTTTATTTATTTATACTAAATGTTAATTGTTTTTTCAAGCCAAATCCCTGATGATGACTATCGAAGATAGTCGAAATATCGGACAAATAAATTAATATATAAAAAAACAAATTCGTCTGTTTTTTAAATTCTGACCTCGAGCCAAACGAAAAACCAGAAGAAAAAAAAAAGTTTTTGAGAATTGCTAAATTCGTTCCAAATGGTGGAGGGTATTCAAAGTTCGGCCCGGCCGAACTTACAGCTTTTTTACTTGTTTAATTTTCAAATAAAAAAAATTTAAATTAATTTAAAGTCGACTTTGCCCATAGATATGTATTTCATTCTCGTCCTCCTTCTGTTTTTCTCTAAAACACAACAGTTCACTATAAGTGTTGCCTTTATTATTGTTCTGGTCTCCGGCTCAAGAATACTTACGAAATAAATATGTCTGTGTTTGATGGAGAACATTATATACTTGACCTTTGGCCTGTCGCTATTATAACATATAAGACGTTCAAAGTTTTGGCTCAACTTCAAGTACCATTATGTTTTATTGTCTGTGTTTTTGTTACTTTGAAAAGGGGTTACATTTTGCAGAGCATGTTGTTTCTTTTTATCGCATTTTAAGATGCGATTTTTTTTTTTTGGTTTTGGAAAATTTGGCAAAGCTTACAAAAAAAAAAAAAAAAAAAAAATGCGATTAAATGGAACAATGTACGATACAGGAGTAGTGGTTCAAAGTTTTTTATGAAAAAAAAAAAATATATACAGTGGTGGCCATATCATATGCAACTAAGATTCATCTACGTTAAAAGGCTATATAAATTTGTAAATTTCACAACGAAGTATATAAAGATGGGTTAATTATAGTCAATACGTTCTTACGATTTCAAATTATTATCAAAATGTGCAGCTTTTGTTTATATCTCTATGTTCACAGGTGTTTTGTTGACAAATATGAAATTTGGTGTGGTCAAAACATATGCAACTTTATATATTTGGTTTAAATAACGGCATTTTTACAATTTCCTTTGTTCTATTGTTCTTCTTATTATTAGCTAGAGACACTGCGTAAAGAGATTTAAAGCTACCTTCACATTTTTATTGCGTTGTTTTTTCACAAAGCTACAATAGAGTTTGGTCAAAAATGGCACGCGATAAATTTGGATTTGAGCTCTGACAACGAATTGTGACTGCGTATTCTTCTGGATTATCACAGAAATGTATTGCCGAGAAATATACCGTTCATAAAAGCTCCATATCGCGCATCATTAATAATTACAAAAAAAATTCACAAGTCTCTGTTATACACCGTGGTGGTCGAAGTCGAAAAACAAGCGATCGGACGGACAAATTAATAATCAGACACGTGAAAAAAGACCCATTTATATCTTCCTCTAAGATAGTGGAAAGATTTCAGTTGCCAGTTTCTGCTCGCACCATCCGTAGAAGACTTTTACAAGCCTCCCTCTGCGCAAGACGTCCTGCAAAAAAACCACTGATATCGAAGCGAAACCAGAAAAAGCGTTTGGAATTTGCTAAAGCTCATATAAATTGGACAGAGAGTAAATGGAGAACTATATTATTTAGTGATGAGTCCAAATTTAACATCATTGGTAGCGATGGCATGTGCTATGTAAGGCGACCAGAAGGAAAACGACTCGAAGCACGTTACTGTAAAAAAACGGTCAAGCATGGAGGGGGCAATATAATGGTGTGGGGTTGTTTTTCTGGTGCTGGAGTTGGCCCCCTACATAGAATTGTTGGTATTATGGATAGATTTATGTATAAAGACATATTGCAAAGGGTAATGCTCCCATTCGCAGAATATAATATGCCATTGCGGTGGGTCTTTCAACAGGACAACGACCCCAAACACGCTTCGAAGGTGGTCAAATCGTGGTTTGCCGATAATAGAGTTACGGTAATGGAATGGCCACCCCAATCCCCAGATTTAAACCCAATAGAGAACCTGTGGGAAATCGTAAACAAAAAAATTGATCGAGAAAATTGTACAAGTTTAGATGTTTTATTTTGCCGGCTGGAAGATGCCTGGAAATCAATCCCAAAAAGCGTCATTGACAATCTTATAGCGTCAATGCCTCGAAGATGTCAGGCTGTAATCGACAACAACGGATTTGCAACAAAATATTAACTTTATTTGCACTTTACTGAGCTCGATTTAATTAGTTGCATATGTTTTGGCCACTTCATAATAAGACTGAATATCTTTTTCTAATTTTTTTTATAAATGAATTGAATATCTATGGAGTATATGTTTTTTTTTCTTAAACTACAAGCAATAAAAAATAATATTTAAAAAAATAATTGCATAATTTTGTTTTCAGAAAAATTTTTCACGGTTTTTGGTAAAGGTTAGATTTCAGTTGCATATGATATGGCCACCACTGTATATATGTCTATTGTCTGTACACATTTATGTTGTGAATGCTTACACGCCAAGATAATTGTTAAAGATCTGAAGACGAAGTGGAAGACCATCTTCTATGAGTATCTTCTGTAAAAAAATTTTGTACCCCAAAGAATTCCATGTACAAATTTTTAAAGCCAAATCGATTGAAAAATATTTCCACGGCCCTCACAATAACTCTATATAACTCCAGCAGATTCCAAAAGTAGAACTAAAGATTATAAAAGTAGAACTAAAAAAAAGAATTTTGAGAAAAATAATTTTGTAAAATATTTTTGTTAATTTTTTTATGTTAAATTTTAAAAGACTGATACACCTGCCTCTTTGCTTTATATCTACTCTTATAATCTGCAGAATTTTTCATGGAAGTATTAAGGGTTGAAACGGACCAAAAACAAAAATTCTATTTTTTCTAAATTACTCTATTGGTCACAATTATTGACCAATCAAAAAAAATTGCATGGGGTAAGAGTTGCTGGGTCATCGGATATTATTTAGGAGCTGGAATAGACCATAACTTTTACTTAAAAAAAAAAACGAAAACTTCCAATACAACCCGAATATTTTTAATTCCAACGAAATCACAAATACCCGAAAAGGTCACTTATTGTCGTAGTTTTGATGCTGATATCTAAGACATCCGATCAAAAAAGTTGATGTTTGCAAGACCGCTTATAACTCGAGAACGGCTGTGCTGATTGCAAGAATTCTCAGCAATTCAGAATGGTCTGTTGGCAGAAAAGAATAACATCTAAAAAAATCGCAATATTGAATTACACACTATGTATTAGGAATATTATATACAATATTATATACATATCATAATTGTTATCCGATCCTCAAGAAATTTCTCAAGAGGGTTGGGTCAGAGTAGAAGCCTATAAGTTTTATAGATACTCACAAAATATTCAGGGGTTTAAATTGACCAAAACTTTAAAGGTGGATGAACATTTTCCTAATTTTGTGGTCACGCTGTAGTAACAATCAACGACAAATTGACACAGAATTTCGCATAAGACCAGAATTTAGGATAGGGAAAAAGTCTAGCATTTTGTATGGTCTTCGGATAAAATATAGCAGGAAAAATGGATTGTATTTTTTTTTTGCGAAATGTTGTACCCTCAGTCATATGGCTATAGCCAATCATGTCTCATCGAAATAACAATTTTAGATCCTAGGTCTCTTTGGACCAAATCCGTTCCGGGACATCTGGGGCCAAATTATGTCTCATCGAAATGACAATTTTAGATCCTAGGTCTCTTTGGACCAAATCCCTTCCGGGACATTTGGGGCCGATCTAGGGGTGTCTTTCCGTTAGTTTCGGTGAACACGATAACTCTCGAAGGGAGTATCCGATTTAGTCCGAACTTGGTGCATCGTAATATGACTATGACTAGAAAAAGAACAGATCGCCGAATTTGGAGCAAACTGTGGAAGTCCCAATATTTTCATCAGTGCTCGATACGAAAATTGAACAGAGAAAGGATGATCCGATGTTGCTCCAACTTTGCGAATAATAATATTTGCATCAGTGCTACGTCAGGTGCTAAAATGGACAATATCGGTCAACTTCATCAAGTATCTCCACCACAAATGGTCAACAATTTGAATAATTATAGGTCTTATAAAATGTTATGTAACAGCCTGATTATCTTCAAATTACACACATCACAAGTTCTGATGTGAAGATGGAATGTATCGGACAATTCCTTCTAGTATATCCCCCACAAATGGTCAAAATTTTGAATATCTATGAAGCTTATAAAATTATAAAGATTGTAGAGTTCGGACCATTTCTTCTTGTACCTCCCCCACAAAGGGTCAACGTTTTGAAACTCCGAAACGGTTATAATATCCGAAATAAGCATCCGACTGTCTTCATATTTCACACATCCCATTATTTCAACTAACACAAGATCTGCTGTGAAGGTGGAAAGTATCGGTCCACTCCTAGTGGTACCTCCCCCACAAAAGGTCAACATTTTGAATAGCAATAAAGCTAATAAAACACGACATTAATATTCGATTCCATTCAGACTTGGCACATCTCAATATTTCCATCAACCCAAGACCTGTTATAAAGATGGTAGAGATCGGGTCACTTCTTCTGGTACCTCCTCTACAAAGTGTTCAACATTCAAGATTTAGAAAAACAATGGATGAAATCGA